TGTTATTTGAAGTGTGCTCATACTTGTATTAAAATTAAATATGACCCAACATTAAACTAAGCAAGACACACTTTAATAACAAAGATTTACACTTTGTTTTGAATAATCTTCATATTTAAATCAGTAATTGAAGATGTTTTTATTTAAATTTACGACGCTTATATTTGATTTGAATATGAAATAGTAGAACATTAAATTTAATATGAAAATATTCATCTGTACTATGCAACTTTTTTATCAGTGTATGTGTCGGCGTGCTGTTGAAGTGCTAAAGTGACTATTCCATTGTATTTCAGCATCTTGAATTACTATCTTACTATCGTCTTACTGAATGTTTGACTGACTGATTGATTGACTGACTGACTGACTGATTGATTGATTGACTGACTGACTGAAGGACTGCAGCCATCTAAATGTTTGCCAAATGCTTCAGGGACACGCACATGCCCACGAACAACACAAAGGGAGAAGGTCAGCATACGAGTATCCTTTTTTAAGGAGCATCCCTAATGAATTATTAAAGTATAATCAATGTTATTAGTCTAGAATATAACAGTTTTCAAGGCTATACCATACTTTTTGTAGTTGTTTGTGTTTTTTGTAGACCTAGAATGCAAAGCAGAGCATTTTGTGTCGGACTGGTAATATTATTTTCTAGTTCGTTTTGAATACGCCAGCCGTAACCGCTTGGCGAAAAGACCTGACCGTCCAATAGTTTTGGAAAACTGGGATCTCCATTGCTCATTTAGAATCCTATATTAACCAAATATATATCGAATGAATCTTCATCGAGCTACATTTCTTTTAAAAACTTTCAAAATCTTCCTTACAGATTATATCTCTTCTACTCCTGAGTTTTTCGTAGTTGTTGTTACTCTATTTTCAAGGAAAAAAGAGCGTTTGTTTCATGTGCCCAATTGTTCAGATGAAGTACTGAAACCATAACCTCAGTAGATCTTTTCAAGCAAAACACTTTATTACCAGTTAGGCCCCGCACGTTTTCTTTTCATTATGCATGTTTTAATCTTAAAGGAAAGCTCCATTGCCATCTTCCTTCGCGGCAGAGCATAAATATTAAAGTATGTAGTCAACAGAAAACTAAAGCTGCCACTGAAAAATAAAAGTGTCTATTTACACTCAAATAATTGCGTTCTGTTGGAAAGTAAGGGGAACTTGAGTGGCTTGTGCGTAATCAACTCTTTATTCGTTGCCGTAGATAAACAACTTAGCTTGAGTGCCAAATTGTACACAAGCAAGCACCCCTAGCAAGCCATTCGGTTCTTTGATCACAATCCGAATAGACGGCAGTAGACAAGGTGCTAGGAAGGGCTGACTACGGACATATTGGCGACTATAATGAAGATGTTGAGCGACTTAAGATAAGGCACATCGCGCCTAGAAAATTTGATTTGCGGACTTAATTAATTGGATTCTTAAAACAAACAGATTTTCAATAATTCCTTTTCTAAGGCATATATACGAGTTTATATGTATGTATGTATGTATTGTCAGAGACGTGGTTAAGTCCTACCATATCTAACTTTCAAATTTTGTCGAATGATTGCAGTTAAAACCACCATCCAGTCCAGTTGCCTTGATGCAACATCTCCTTCCCGAGCGATATACATATAATCACTTGCTCCTATATTCCTCCTTCTTCTGATATTCAAGTTTATATGAACCATACAAGTATTACTTGTATCAGAGAAGTATGTTCCCGTCTGCGTGACAATGACTTGATTGTTATGGTGGGGGATTTTAATTTACCAAGCTTTTCCTGGTCATTCTTTAATAGTTCCCCTCACCTTATTCCTTCGTCACAGCACGACTTTTTAGATTCTTGCACTCTCTTTTGTTTAAATTAATCCAATATACAATACAATATACACCTTCATTGATATCTCGAATAAAGTGAATTGTCAATCCTGGTGTAGCAATTCCATTATTCTAAATAAAGTTTAATACGTTTTTACATGAACTCTAAAATCTGAAACGCAAAAGCTAATAGTAAAGAATGTAAATTTCTTTACTACTTGTATTTAATATTTTAAGTTCAACAAATTGTCAAACAAATGGAGTTGTATTTGTTTATACATATTGTCCAAGCAAAACTTAATTTAATTTAATTTAATGTAGTACAAGAGTTTCTATAACAATGTTACGTATGACGAATCCAGAATACAAGTACTTCTATGAAATGTTCACCAATATCTGGAAAAAGTTTGGTAGACCCCTTGTGGTTTCATATTCTTAATGGGGCTCATGAGCCTCCGCCGATTTATCTTTGATTAGACTAAGTTCTCCTCCTGACTAAATGTGCTTTAAAAACTGCCTAACAGAGCAATTTTAGTGACATTTGAGGTAATGCCCCCATTGCGTGCCTTGTGTCTGTTTTATGATTTTCGAAGGGCGGAAAAACGAAAAAGGAAAAAAAAAATCAAATTCAATAAACAACAAAATACAATAATAGCGTATTGAACATGTATGTGCTTGTGTTATCTAGCTATTTTGATATTTTGAGGCTGAGGCACCATGCAGTTTTGCTCGTTCTTGATTTTTATTGTCATGTCCGGTTCCTGTTCCAGTGATGTAGCTGTTGTTATTGTTCTCGCCTTAACAGAATTATGATTAAATCAAACAACAATAAAAATAATGCCGAACAAGTCACAATAGCAGCAACAACAACAATGAGTGCAGCCATTAGAAAAGGCAGAAACGTTTACGTTCAGAAGAATAATGGGCAGACAAAACGAAAAGATAGCAAGGCGAAAAATATGATAAATTTCATAAATGAAAAGCACAACATCATCAACGCTCATAAAAATGAACAAGGAGCCAAAATCGTTAGACTTTAACAAGCCTGTCATTGTTGTGTTTGTCGCCGACCCGTCGTCCTTCCCTACAGTCTACAGCCTACAGCCTTGGCAGCAAAATTTGAGACTTTGCCAGCCAAGAAGTCCTTTGTGAATGACCGATCAGCCGTCATTTTTGCCATTTGTTATATTTTTGCTTTTTTAATTGGCCGACTGCTGTCCTACAGCTTAGAGCTCTATAATAGTTATAATAAAATAAAATATATATTATAATATATTAATATCGGTTGTTCCCATAAAGGCAACTTGATAATTAATTCTCCCTAATAGATTTATGCGCAGCTACTTTTCCACATTTAAGTGCATTTCTTGGTTAATATCAAATTAGGTCGAGTGGAATGTGGTCGTTAAATTTTTATAAACTGTTGCAAGCAAACTAAAGAAGTTTCACGTCTTAATTGGGTCATGGTTGACACGGGCAAGAGTATGCATGGCTGAGCCATGTTGTTGTTTACATTTGACACTACCTTATTAAGCCCTTACTAATTTTGGCAATGGAGCAAGTTTTAAGTTGTAAGTATGGCCAACAGATAGGCAACGGCAGACGGGCAGACGGGCAGACACCCACGCCAAAGTCGTTTTGCCAATTAGGGCAAAGCAAACAAGACAACTCTCATCTCATCATCTCGTCGCTGGGGAAGCGTAACATTTATTGAGCTCTTTGAATTATTTAGTAATCGTTGACATGACATCACAGCACTGCCAGAAGCAAGTAGCCCTGGCGGTTGCTGCTAATAATTTGATGGTTTTGCTTACGGTCCAATCTCAAGTCCACTCTGCCAGCTTGAAGTGCGAGTGCGTTAGATGTCCTTGACTTTGGCCCTGTGCGACGGCTCGAGCTGTTGTGATTTGACTGAAATGCCATCCGAAATGAGCTACAACCGAGGTGACAGTCTCAACACCAACTTACCAGTAATTAGAGTATCGCCAGCATCGGCCTTGTCCACATCAGCAGGTGGGGGCGTGTCTTCTAGTGCCACTGTTGCCTCGCCCACAGACTCGCCCTCGGCCGCTCGTTGCCTCTGCAGCACCTGTTTGCGCAACTTGCGCAAGTAGGCTGCCTTATACTCCTCACTCGGCTTACCGCCCACACCATAGCTGACCTCTAGAACTGTCAGTGGTATGACGGTCGATGATACGGGCACCAGATCTGGAGTGGCCAAACAAGCAACAGACTTGTCAGTACAATATACTTGTATTGTTAAATATTTGTTGTCTCAAGCTAAGCACCTGCTTCGAACTTCTCCTCTTGGTTGCGTTTATATAACATTGGTGTTGCGCTGGCGCAAACCAAGAAAAGCACCACCACCGTAGCTGTTACAAGCAAACTTGTCGCTGTCATATCGTCTTGGTCTCCCAACAACTTATTTCTCACATCCACTTGCTTTAGACGCTGCGCTTAGACTGAATATGTGCGCTTTATTCGCATCGCTCGGTCAGTTTGCGCAGGCGCGCCTTCTGCGTCAACTTTATTGCCTACCAGACAAGTTATGTACGATATATGTACACAGAAGATTTGGCTGCATAGAAAATAATTTCGATGGCTTTGGGATGTAACCAAATTAAGTTAATACATAAGTTTCCACTCGAGACCAAAAGCGTTATTTATACAAGTAGTAGTTCACGAGAACTTTACGAAAATTGGAAAACAGTTTACATTATACTTTGGTTGGTGATGTGAAGCAGCTGAAGGTTCTTTTATAACTATTTAATAAGCCAGCAAACAATTGTTCCGATTGAAAAATGCATGCGTTCTCAGTACTTCAAAGTGAAATGTTATCTTACTGAACAACATTCCATTCGGCATGAATTTGCCCATAAAACCGATGAAAATTTAAAAACAGAAACAAATATCCATATTTAATAAATATTTATGTGTAATATAGCTTTCACAGCGTGCCCACTCAATTCAAATTCAAATTCGAAAATAAGCAGATGATTTCGCACTTGCAAGTTGGCAGCCCCCGAACGCAACGCAAGCAACTTTTTTCTGTCTTCGCCAACACAAAGTGTTATCGTCATCGGACAATGGCGTTGCATGGCAATCAGCTTCGGTATGACTGCCAAGCACCACTGACAGCTGTCACGATGCAAAAAAAAATACTTAATGTTGTACGTCTGAGCATTACAAGAACAAACACACAGCAGCGCGGAAGTGAAGTGTTTTATTTCTTTTTAATGTTAAATGAAAAAGCAATTTTAATTACCACATAAAACCTTTAACCACATGCATTTCACACAACCAATGCAATCAAACAGTCACGCCACAGTACGCAACAAGACAACAACAAAGGCGCACAAAGTATGAGCTGAAAACTGGACAAAAAGAAAATTTCAAGGCAACGTAGTGCACTACAAACGACGACGCAAGGGAACGGCAACTACGACAACGACAATAAAAACGTGAAGAATCAAAGCAAGAATAAATTGTTAGACTTCTCTGCTGATCTATCCGCCGGTGTGTTCTGTGAGCTGTAGCTGAATATATGTATATGTGTGGTATGTGAATGTGGATGCGTGTGTTGGCTGGCATATAAATTCGCCACTTAGTTTAAATACAAAACAAACGGAACGAGGCCACAGTCAGAAACAGAAAGCACCAGCACACAAATGCAAACAACGCACAGTCCAACCCAATAGCAGCAGGAGCGGGAATAAGGAAGAGGAAGCACCAGAAGTAGATGCAAAAGAAGCTGAAGCAGAACTAGAGGAAGACAAGACCGCAAGGCGTGCATTGCATTGAACTTGAGCGTTGAAACGCAGCATTAACATCTCCTATCTATCATAAATATACATCAGTTAAACTATAACGGCAACACCACGGCGTCCCCACCAGCCAACCAACAACAACAACAAACACACGCACGCCAGCTTCAACATCAACACCAATATCAGCACCAGTATTTGCATTCGTATTCGCATTCGTATTATCATCATCAATATCAGCAGCATCAACAACAACTGCAACAACAACAGCAACAACAACAACAAAACAACATGAGCACAGTGTTTGTTAACTCAAGGAAAAGCCCAAATGTGCTGAAGAAACAGGGCACAGACCAATGGGTCAAGCTAAATGTGGGCGGTACCTATTTTCTAACCACCAAAACGACGCTATCCCGTGACCCGAATTCGTTTCTATCGCGACTTATACAAGAGGATTGCGATTTGATATCTGATCGGGTGAGTACCATCCTCGACAGCATTATCCCATTAACAAAATAATTAACTCGTACACAATAATAATAATAATGCTAGCCAAGTCTTTGGTCCGCCAACTATAATTATCGTCATTTGTATGTATGTATGTATGTATGCATACATACATATGTGTAAATGTAAATACATTTATAGTACAAGCATACGGGTACATACACATGCACGCATGCACAGTTAGCCAATGCAGGTCATGCTGTTGTGTGCAGCGGAAGCAGCAGCAAACAACTACAACAACAACAACAATAACAACAAAATAAGAGCCGTTAGCGCCCACCCCAAACAGCAGCAACCACAAGAACAGTAACAATAGTAAAAGTAACAACAACAACAACAAGAGCTTACCAGGGCCGTGTGCTGGTTAAGGGTATGCGTCGACGTCAACGCCAACGCCAACATTGACGTCGGCGTAGATGCCAACACTAACGCTCCATACTGCAAACCGTTTTCTAGGCCAAAGCAGCGCAGCAAACCAAACCAACCCAAAAAAAAGCAAAAATGTTGCAAGGCAGCGATAGGTGCCATGAAAGAATGAGACGAGAGGAGGCCAAAGTTGCAACTATCCGAATCAGCCATCCACCATCCACCATCCACACGCCCACAACCTTAGTGTGTGTGTGTGTGGGTGTACATGCATATAAATGTGTGTGTGTGTGTGTGTGTGTGTGGGTGAGTGTGTAGGGCAAGGCAAAAGTGCCTAAAACTAGTTTAGTGTGACAGCGGTTGATTTTTATTGTTGGGTGCGTTAAATCCTGGAAGACGAAGGATGAGTGAGTGGGTGGATGGATGAACGGGTGGCTAGTACTTGTAGTATGCGAAAGATGGTGATGGAGCGCACACAACAGCAACAATAATAATAATAATAATAAAAAAAATCAAACATTTACGTATAAGCAATAAATTCCAAAAGCTAAATTCCTGCTCGCAACATCCAGTCATTCATTCATTCACACATTCAACTATGTATGTATGTATATAGACAAATAGTACAAGTGGATTGTTTTCCATTTTACGCTCCGGGCATTTCAGTGTGTGTGTGTGTTTGAGTGTGTAATCATGCATTCGGATATAAAAATCAACAAAAAAATGTGCGCTAGGTGTGCGGTCAGTCAGTAGTTAGTGAGTTTAGTCAGTCCACTGGAGGAATCTAGTCCGGGCCCAGCTATGGCAGACAGGCAGCGAACATCACGAATAGTTTCAACAAAAAGTTTTGCACGTTTATCCAATGTACCGCTTTTGTTGTTGCTGATGTGGTTGCTGTCGCTCGTCGTGCTTGTTGGAGCAGTCTCCCGCTCTTTCTATTGATTAAATTTACCACATACCAAGGCAACCCCAGCGCCAACCAATTAGGGCACACATACTTACACACACACACTCACACACACATGCACCCGCATACACCCGCGAACACTCGGAACACATGACTTGTTAAGGCACGGCACAGTATACATTTTTGGCAATCAATGTGTACAATATTCGATTGTTTTTGTTTATATTTTTTAATTGTGTGCTAAAATATATTCATATCTGTGTAGCATGTACATATCTGCAGCTCTATTTGCGAGTGTTCCTTATCTTATCCGGGTATTTATATTCGACTCGAAATTTAAAAGTTAATACGATTATGGTTTCGCACATCGGTAATCACTGATTGATAGCTGCTGGAATCAGACGATAGTAGAAACTACAGATAGCAATAAATATGCCTACATATTTTTCTTGTTAGAGCCTGTCAAAAAACACTGGAATTTTCTACAAAAAATTTGCTGCAGTTCTGTCGTGAAGAAGGGAACGGTTGACGTAGATGCTGAGATTTCTTCTCCAGACTAGGGCTGGCCAGGTTTCATTACCGTGTGTTGGCCTGCGAGAAATGCTTTCGAGCCCATAGAAATTTGTGTGCATCTATTTATGCTAGAATTTGGAAGCCTTTATTGTTACGGCGATTTGGGGGTTACTGTCGTCCTTTGGTCTGCCTCTGTCACCCGCACATTTGATCTACTTATGTAGTTATGGGTATACTCAGTATTCTGTTGCATTTTTGTTCACGTAAATTGCCGAAATGGCTCATGGTGCGTTCTCTGTTTGAATATGTGGGCCTGCGTTGGTTTATTTTGATGTTTAAATTGCTGCAAAAACCAAAATAAAACCTCTAGAAATATAAAAGTCACTACACATAACAATAACAAAGCATTAACATGTGGCTGGCCCACATCAAACACATCATTCGTGCACTCATTCGTTCGCTCATTTAGTCAGTTAGTCAGTCACAACACTGCCCACACTAGATACCAAAACTATTTGGACAGAGATCATTTGTTTTGCAGAAACTAAAAAGAAAAATAATGGAATAACAGTTCTTCATCTTCTGTTTTCTTTTCCCACTTTAAATTGGTGAGAGTATATTGTATTTATATACAAGTTGCAAAAAAAATTCACCTCTTTAGATTAGATTAGATTACTTGAACCGCAATAGAAATATCCAGTATTTTATGGGAACCTTTACCAAACATGTTTTGAGCTCTATATATCTTTTAATTAATTGGCGCGAGTATACGTAAATTAATCGATATAAGTGTCCGTGGAAGTCTGTTAGTATGAGCATCAAGACAATGCATTTTTTGTTTGATGGGCTTTCAAAATTTTATTTTCAGTATCGCGTTTTTCTCTTTTCGATTTCCGTTTTCAGTTCAGCCATTGTTTTCGTAGTGAGCTTTCACATTAATTTCCAGTTCTAGCACACGTGTCCACGAAATTAAAAGAATCATTAAAAGCGTTCCCATTCATTTATTTTCGAATATGCGAGCTTAAGATTTCAAAAATTTGGATTGCACAGTCGTAAAATGTAAAGTTTTTATTAGACAGACGTATTTTCGTGCTTATTCATGCCCGTCATGAATAGCATTATTAGCAGGTTGAACATTTACATATATTCGTATATATACTGCTGCGTATTTCTGTAGGCTGATGTACTATACATGAACCAAATATATTGCTCTTTTGTGATGCTTATGGACGAATGGTTTTATTAGAGCTTAGTGGTGCATAACACACTGATGGACGTTGTGTTACGTTTATTTCGTTGATCAGTGCTAGAAATCGGTCGATTTGTCCGTCTAGAGCTGAAACTAAATACGCCAAATGAAAACTCTCGAATGTTTTTAGAATGCCAAACCATGCTATAACATATCATTTTTAAAGCAGAGCGAATTTATCTAGGAACCCTTATTAGAATTGATCGAAAATGTAACTCTATTTGGGGATATATACTCCAATTAGAATTTGAAAATACATGATTGAGGCATAATATCTATGTATTTATGAATTCAGGAAAGCAGAGAAATGGAAAGTATTTTTTTTAGACAGCGCCATTTTCTTAAAGTCGGACAAATATAATATTCTATATGTATATGTTTTTTTTTCATTTAAATGAACACTCAATTGCTGTTTGATAATAGGAACACTTTTGCTTCCTAGTGTAAGTATTTCAAATCTTAATCCTTGCCAAAAGCGAAATTTTTGGCATACAACTGCCTGCGTCCTGCTGCGAACGCGCAGCCCTGGAGCAGCCCTGGCACAACTCATAGCCGCCAAAGCCATAAATAAATGAGGAATATGCTCATTGCCATTAAAATGCCGTTACTTTGCCGGCATGCGGCCGGGGGGCAGTCAAGGCAGCGAGCCAAATAGACAGGCATGTGAGTGAAACTGACAGGCTAGCGAGGGGGTATAAGTGCGCGAGGGATCGTGCGCTGGGGGGGTTGGGGGTGGTGGAGGGGAAGGTGTTGGGTGGTCGTGCAGCTGCATTTGGCATTGTTGTCGTTGTCGCTGTCGTTCTCTTTTGGGGGGCGGCGCGTGCTACTGAATTACAAACAAACAATCACACATGCAGACACACATAAATAAAATCATACTTAGATGCATATAGTATGTATAGTATCTATATCTGTTCATATGTATAGTACGTGCACTATGTCGTGCCATCCATATACTAGATTACTGAAGTGTTAGAAAACATTTGCATGCAGCATGATAAATGCACCGCCATACAGTCTTATCTCTTGCCTATGGACTGTGCTATTCAAATTTGAAAAGAAAAGCCGCAGGACTCGACTCTTTAAGCATGTATGGCAAGATTATTTCTCTCTTGGTTTTTGAGGCTAGACAGAGAAATGGACAATTAGATATGTATGTCTAGATAGACTTTTTCATCGACAGCTCACGTCCTTTAAGAAGTTACATTCTTCATACAATATTGTTCGATGGTCTCTAAATTTTTTAATTAAATTTTGTATAAACCCGGCTGGCAAGCTAGCGGCGTCCCTCCTATGGAGCTGAACTATCAGCTTAAAAATCAATTAAGCATATTTTTATATTACGAGATATCAATATTTCCAAATGTTTTTTTTATGCTTTTTTATTCATTGCCTTTCTCTTCGTGCGCCTTCTCTGTTTGTATGTATCTCCCTCTTTTTGTGATTTCACTATTGATCAAAAATATATTTTATTTAGGGTTAATACACTTTCCATATTTGTGAACTTATGTATGTTCGATGAGTCCTCCATTGTTTGTAAGTTTGTAGTATATACAATATTTTATAGAAGAGCATTATAATTACTAAATTAAGAATTTGGTAGAAAGTGTAATTTATAGTGAGTTGCCGCTAAATTATACAAATTATACACAAGTTTGAATCAAAAAGTAATACCTATTAAGTTTGTTCGTTTCTAAAACAAAACTTGAGGTGTAGTTCTTCCAGTTTTTTGATCAAAATAATTGAAAAACCTCGAAAGACTACCAAGAAAAGCTCCAAAATGTAGTTTCTCGATTATAACAATGAATTTTTTCCTAGAGTCTAAGAATATAGTATGTACTTGTATGTATATAGTATGCACTAGTCTTCCTAACACAAAATACGAAAGGTTTTACTGTAGTAAGTGGGTAGGTGGGTAGGTAAAGGTGTATGACAGCTTGACAGACATTGCCTTGGCTGGCAGGGAGGAGGTGACACGCTCGACTCATGGCTACACAACAGACACATTCCCAATATGTCAATGCATTACTAATTGATTGTTCTTCTTCGCTCTTGTTTTCCATTCTGGCAGGACGAGACTGGCGCCTACTTAATCGACAGGGATCCCAAATACTTTGCGCCCGTGCTAAACTATTTGCGGCACGGGAAGCTGGTACTGGATGGCGTTTCCGAGGAGGGTGTACTGGAGGAGGCCGAGTTTTATAATGTAACGCAGCTGATAGCGCTGCTCAAGGAGTGCATCAGCGATAGAGATCAGGTGCGTATTTGCTTATTCTCATGTAAGCATAGCTCTTATTCTTCCGCTCCTGTTCCACAGAGGCCGCAAGGTGACAAGAAGCGTGTCTATCGCGTGTTGCAATGTCGTGAACAAGAACTGACACAGGTATGCATCAACTTTAAATCGAAGGAAGAAGAACTGCCTTCAATTCGACTTTTATTCGCTTTGCAGATGATCTCAACACTGTCGGATGGCTGGCGTTTTGAGCAGCTGATCAGCGTTGGCATGCAATACTCAAACTATGGTCCATTCGAAAACAATGAGTTCCTTTGTGTGGTCTCAAAGGAATGTGCCGCGACGGCCGGACGTGAGCTGGAGCTGAACGATCGGGCCAAGGTGCTGCAGCAGAAAGGATCGCGAATGTAAGCAAGCTCGCCAGCGACCTCTCGCTCGCTCCTAACCATTTCACTCGCCATCTCGCCCTCCCTTTCTTTTCCTCTTTTCTTGTTGTTGTCTGTGTATGTTTGGCTGAAAACTACAATTGTACAATATCTATAGCTATATATGTACATATATATTTACATACACCTAAACACATTCATAAATGCCGCATTCAGTCGACACTCAGTCGAGCACGATGATATATTTTGTATATAAACATATACATTTGTATATATGTACATACATATATTTATATATATGTATATACACGGTATAAAATACACATTCAAAACTAACGCAAACACCGATACGCGATTGCCTAATTGCAATGTAATTAATACGTTGATAATATATCGTTTTTGGTTTGTTTTTTTCTCTTCACCAACATTCGTGCTGTGCCATTTCCATTTCATGCATTTAAAATTGACTCTTTTTATCTAACCCATCCGATAAAACGGCGTATATACAGTATGTACATACATATGTACGTGCAGAAATGAAAATGTGTACGAGTATATGTTGTCGGAATGGCAATAATTCAGAATTGGGGACTAATTGCATTTTCGCTGTTAAAAGATATTCAAGCAATCATATGTACTTACATATATGTGCTCAAGGGATAGATAATATATACACACACATGTGTGTGTTTTTACTGTTACTGTTACTAAAAAGCAGACAAAGCAATAAGAAGAAAAATGTCAATTTTAAGAGCGCACGCAAGAGCGCTCAGAAATCAAATTAATGGCTTGATGGCTTGCCTCAACTGAAGGCGAGAGGTCAAGTGCTCCCACTCCCAATACCTATGTTGTCAATATAAATCGCGCATCGACTCTATAAGCATACAATTATACTATATACCTATATACTATATACATAGTACATAAACTGGTACATCTGTTAGCTGCTTTTGTGAGCTTTGCTAGAACGCACAATGTAAAATGTATTCATTTATCTGCATATACAAATATCTATAGATGTTTATATAAGTATATACAGATATGTATGTATATGCTTCAACATTAGGAGTATACTTTACTTTAGATGTGTATCTATTTATATTTGCATTAGTATGTATATACAACAATATAATATATACAACAACAATGTGCAATGCAATGCAATGCAATAAACAAAACATTGAATTTCAAAATGACAAATCATAAGCGATGACTGCTTCTGCCATTTAAGGGCGACTGCTGTTCAATGATGAAATAAGTCAGAGTCAAAGCTTTTATCTTATAGATAATGACAATTATTATGCACTGATTGCTGCCTATTTGCGCTTAAATTGAAGGCAACACCGATGCCTTTATTCTTTTTTCATTTACTTTAAGCATTATTTTCATCTTGGAACTAAGCTCTATTCAAGATATTTTACACCCATGCATGCTAAGCATATGCAAAGAAAAACACATTCAAGTATATAGTATGTGCTATATAAGATACTGAATAATGGAAATATATAATATTTGTATGAGCAATAACGAAAAATATGTTGTATGTGTGATGTGTGTGCATGGATGAGCCAGCAATTATTTATACGCGCCTATCAATTATATTGCCTTAACAAATATTTCACATGATTATTTTCCTACAAGTTGTGTTCATCTTTTGCTTTTAACGAGGTATACCAGAGTCATTCTCTTAATTTCTCACTTTTCAAACCTAGGCTCAACCATTACGAGGTAACTTGCCACTTGAGGCAATTATCCGAGACTCATACATGTTTAATACTCTGAAAGGATCAACAATTAATTGGTTATGGACAGTTTAAGCTTTTATTTTGACAATCTATTGTAAAAATATATGTTCTATGTGTATGCAGAGATAATGAAATTGTCCTCAAACCATTGGATTCCATTTCTGAGTGGACGCAAGGGTCAAATTTTAGTTTGAAATCGTCTTTATGTGTTTGATGGTGAAAGAAAACTCATTACAGCGGCATTTCCACGTTGATTTTATTGCTCAGATCAGCCTACTCATAATATTTGTAAAAACAAAAGAGGCATGCTAATATAATTATTATAACAACATGTAATTATTTTTGTATGATAATGATTGTTTATATCGTATGTATGTCTGCCTGAGTGTGTTCCATCCATTTACCATTAAGAATGAGAATATTTTATCGTTGATCTATTTGTATATATGTGTATGTGTATATTTTATTATTTTTGATTAATAATCAAAGCCCCCTCTCTCTTTAATTGCAGTCTTGGAATTTAAATGCAAATACTTTGAGGGCGTGTGATTGTGCCCCCACACCACATAATACCACATCAGATACCAAAATGATATCGCAATCATCATCAGACATCATCAAACAAACCATCATTGCAATCAACAAGAACCATTACAAACCGAATGACAACACACCACAATTACAACAACAATAACGGCAATAAGACATGTTTAAGAATAGTCCGATTGAGAATTACACAAACTTGAACAGTCATTTGAAGTCATTATCCGCAATCAGATTGTCAATCATTTATAAAACTAGCACATGAAAAGCATTCGATTTTATACTTCTGTTTTTCTCTTTTTTGTTGTTGTTTGACATGTATATTATATTCTTGCAACACAAGCAAAATAAACTTTTTATTTACATACATATACATATATATATATAAACCACATACATATATCTTGTATGTATATGTAAGAGAAGCGCTTTGAATTTTCGAAAGATTTTTTAATGACTTCCCAATCTTGTCATCTGTACTTTATGTAATTGTAATTAACTTTGTAGTTCATCGTTTTGTGTTTCTCTTTCTGTTTGTTTGTTTATTTTCGGTTTGGTTTTTAAGGCAAAGTTAACAATTAACAATTTTTATGTGCGTGCCTGCGTGAGTGCGATTGAGCGATTGAGGATTGTGGATGTGTGTGTTCAAAAGCTTTTAATACAAATATTGCAAATGGTTTTTTAGCATAATAATGCAAATACATGCATAGTAGATACGAACATTTCTTCGGTTCCACCGAAACAATGTGCTCTTCGAGTAATGGTAAATGTAAATGGGGAAAGTAAGAGCAAGGATAAGATATAGTTATGGCTCCTGTGTCATAATAAGCATCAAAATGAAAACAAATTTCTTACTTTATGTGGAGTCAGTGTAACTGGCTGGCTCTGCAACTCGAGTGACCTTCGATGAGTGAAATTTTAGAGGTAGAATCTGGGCTTAGTTTGAGAGCTTAACAGAGAGAGAGAGAGAGAGAGAGAGAGCTTGACGATTTGAAGGGCACACCAACTATATGCTTAACACATACTCGTAAGTGAGGCAACAACACAACAGAGAAATGTGGAGCAAGCACCAAAACACCGCCAGCATTGTACTGTTCGATTAGTTTAATAACAAATATGCTACAAGTATATACATTTATAAATATATATATATATATACTTATAATGAAATGAGATAAGCTTAAATTATGTAAAAGATAATTAACGCTTAATACCAGACATCAATTGATTTTACTGTGCTTACAATAATAATAATAATAATAATAATTACAATATATAAAACAATTAAACACATTTGAGTGAATGCAGCTACATTAATATTTAATTGAAGAGCGAGAGACAACAACAAAAATCGAATCAGATTTGAAAAAGACTTCATTATTTTATTTCACATACTTGCATGCATGCAGAGTCGAGTCGAGTCGAGTCGCTGACGTGCATTGTAGTTGTTGAAATTAGTGAATCGTGTGTATAGGTATTTCAAAACTTCTCGATCAATTTTAACAGAAGTAGGCTCTGCACGGGCACGGTTAAGGAAATTAGCAAAACAAAAAAGAAAAAAACAACAAAAACGTGTGGATCGGCCAATAGCCGTTACTACCGACTCGTTTGTCAATTTATTTAATTTAATTCCAACTAAGTTCGAGCTGCATTTAAGCCCAACCAATCAATAAGCAGCACCCGTTGTGTGTAGAGCCCGTACTGCAATGCTTTTGTTGAGCTTTATATTAAAAATAATAAAAATACAAACAAACAAAAACACGTGTATAGAAAAAAAAAACAAAACATATATATAATTATATATATATATATATATATACATATATGAATCACGACTGAATTTATGTAAACTTGCACTCAAAACAAAATGAAATCAAATCAAGAAAGCATGAAAAAGAAGAACGGCGATGTTTTGTACATACTTAGTATATGCTATACTGTATATGATGCATTCAGTATACATACATATGTATTGAAGAACATGTTATTTTAAATATAAACTTATTTATACACAAGAAATTGTGGGAACTAAACGAAACAAGACGTCGCCACCTACTCGTACCCATTTTTGTAACCATTTTGAATTAATTTTTTTTGTGGCCTCCAATATGTGAATTAGTTTGTAAAGCTTCAAAATTGTTTGATGAAGAGACGACCTGTGTAAACCATAAATTAGTGCATAGCTATACAATATATACATACATATATCTAAAAGTACAGAACGGAATGTGAATGAAACGTTCTTAGCAATAAAACACTTGCATGTGTTTCTCAATGTGTGTGTGTGCGTGTGTGTGTGTGGGTGTGTGTCTGCCTGAGAGTGTGTGTGCCTGCGTGTCTGCACTATCCCTAACAAATATACATACACATATGTATGTACGTGTATTACATACAACCGACAACATAAAATACAATACATGTATGTATTTATAATTAAATTGCCGTTGACAGGGCACTCAAGCTTTTGTAATCATAGCGGCTGCAATCACGTTTCGTTTTAACAACTCACACATGCACGTTACAAACACACACACACACACACACACACACATACACACATGGTAATGTTAATGATAATGATAACGATAATAAAGTTAAACGGCAATAACAAAATGCAACATACCTACAGATATGCTGTTGTTTATATGTATATTGATAGCATATATACTTAACAATAAATTGTAAAGTCTCACCAAGGACTTCAACTCAAAGACACAATATTTAAATAAATTAAAAATCCCTTTTCTAAAAAAACAAAACAAGAAAAAAATTGTCTTTTATCTGAAAAATATTCCTGGGATTTTCTTTCTTATCGGTTACTGCTAGTGCATGTAATATCCAGACGGATCTGTTCGTCTGTATGAATGCACAGATCTCTGAAACTGTAAGAGCTAGCCATAATAAAGCTTGGTATACAAGTTTTCCCCAAGTCTGGGGAAAGTCAAGTTTATTTTTTTTTTCCATAACTGATGTAATTCTTGGATAGTTACAGGCTTATCAATTTTCATCGTAGTATTAGGTCAATGGAAACTCCAGTTATGGCTATATATGTGAGCTGGAGAGAGTTGGGCTCACTTGTACTAATATTTATAAACACTTCTCATATGAATATTAATTAAAATTTGAAAAAAATTCCAGAAATTTTTGATTACAAGGTATATTATTTTTGTTAATTTATTTACTAAAAATGTACCGATATGTTTATGGGTTGGTGAAAAGGGTATATTGTAGGACCCGCACTACTCCAACTCCAGCTTTTACACATTTGTAATTATGTTAGTTTATTCTCAAATTCAGGCAATATTTTAAAACCACAAACCATCTCATAACAAGAGATATACATAGTTTGTTTATAAGATTTGTGGTCTTTCAGTTTTGAAGCCATCGAACTGGAGCTCTGATGAGTTTTGATTTGCCGCATAATTGTATACTATGATGTTTTTCCATGATCTTTAATTATTAGCAATTCGTAGGACTGTCAGTGCTGTAGTTTTTCCTTACACGCTGATTATTGGCGATGTAGACTTCTCTGCCCTCTAAGGTCGTCTTAGCTTCTCTGTTCCTACATATTAGATTAAAAAAGAATTATTTTTCAAAATATTTGTCGATTTTGGATATTGTGCTTAGACTTACTATATAATGATCTTTCTCACTTACTCTTAACAGAACTGTCTCTCTCCCTCTATTGTACAAAAGCGGTGCTCTATGTGGATCGGTGCTGTGAATCGGGGCTTAGCTGGCCGTATCGGATGCACGAAACGACATTATTGTTCTATACTTTGACTAGACTATACTTTTGTTAGATTATTTATGAGGTATTAATCTTTTGGGTAGAAATTATAAGGGTACATTTGTACATTTAAAATATATATTTCTTAACATAATAATAAATAAATAATGGGCCAGCTATCGACACACTCACACCTGACAAAATACAACTATGTACATATGTATATGTCTTGGAATAAAGTCTGAGGACGTAACAATCAGATAAATTCTAACTTATTCAACAGCACAAGGAAGGTACCATTGCTTAAGTTGTAAAAAGGTTTCTTTAAAAGCTTTGCTAGTACACAATCCTTAAGCTGAATATTGAGCTTTTAAATCAAAAGCAGAGCTGTGTGAACTTACGCGTAAAGCCAATCCTGCAGCTTCCAAAAGAGATGTAAAGCTCTATAAAAATATAAGCTTACATATGCTTTTAATTCGATGGCGCTTTTAGCTTAAAAGATAAACCCAACAAGTCAAGCCAAAATCCTTTTTCGCTAAAGTTGTGATAGGTCCGAGCATGAGTTGCGTCTGCATAAGCATAGAAAAGTCTGGAGGATTCGAAATGAAAAAAGCCAACTGGAAAAGCACACTAAAAAAGCTACATATCATACATATAATATACTCACACTATATATATGTATTTTAAAACGGAACCATATACTCGTATGTACTTTTCTATTGTATTACAATTTTACAAGTGTATGCTTTATTAAGTGGAGAATGAAAACATCTTTTTGAAAACATACAACAATGATCGAACATTTCAATTTGTAAATGCTAACAATAATTTCGTAACTGTAATGTGACTTTATATTAAATGAGCAAAGAAGTAATCTATATCTGCACCGAAGCTATAAACCTATGCCTAGCCTAGCAACAAGAACATTATTCCTCCATAGTCGACGGCCCAATACCATTACGTTTGATCACAAGATGCTCAATATTAGATTTATTGAAATATTTTTAGAAACAACAAGTTTGCATGATACAAGCTAAGTTTGAAGTTAATCAGATGAAAATTGTAGGTTTTTCATACAAACGTTGGAGCCCGTTTTCCCCCCTTTGGCGGTCGAATTTTCCAAATTCGCTCACTTTCACTGTGAAAGGAAACTGGTGCCCAAGTTTTAGTCTCCTAGCTTTTACCGTTTGGGCTGTGCGTTGATCGCCAATCAGCCAGTCAGTTAGTACAAACTGTTATATATATGTATATAGATAATCAGTTCGAAATGTTTCTAAGGCGGTGCATGAAGTTGTCGAAAGACCTCGTTGCCATATTTTGAGCAACGATAAAGCTCTCGGCTCATTGTTCTGGAATGCGCGGATGCAAGTCTAATCTATTCAATAGATTACGAAGGGGGATGCCCTTTCAAAAACACACAAACAGATGTTTCGCCTGTAAAGGTTATGGCGACAGTTTTTTGGGATAGTTGTGGTGTTATAAATATAAATAATCTGGAAAAGCGAAAATCAATCATGGGAGGCTACTACGCATCGCTGTTG